AAGTGTCAAATACTCACAAGAGAAGTAATGACAGATGAAAATTGTGACCAAAATTCACTATAAAGTTTTTTAAATTAGTGAAACAATAATTTCTATGAAGAAATACTAGAGCTGTAATTCCAGAAGTTACCCTAAATTGATAAAACTCAGGAAAGAGAAGAAAAGAACAAAGCCATCACAGAATAAAAATTATAGTACAATGAATAAAAAAAATGCAGTGGAAAACACAAAAAAAATACATAGAATAGAAATTAGGCAAGTAATAAAATGACGCAGAACTAAAAAAAGAGCCCAAAGGATTCAGGTAAAAATACTAGGTATCTAAAATAGGCAAAAGAAATACACACTATGGATACTTGGAATTCCCAAAATAGAAAAACAAAATAATTGAAAATAACAAATATTTAAATGTATAATTTAACAAATAATTTCTAAAATAATGAAATACTTGAATCTATAGAATATATTTTAAGACACCACACTACCAAGTATAATAGACTCAGAATAGTCAATACTTAGACATATAACAATAAAAGAATTTTTGGATCATCCAGATTAAAAGATTAAGTCATCTATAAGGGGTTTAAAAATAATCTCAGATTAATGAACGTGGAATAAAAATTTTCAAACATTAAATATTAAAATATTTTTGAAGCTAGGTGATGTTACATGGGGGTTCATTGTAGTATTCTAATTACTCTCTATATGCTTGAATTTTTCCATAATGAATGTTAAAAAATTATTTAAATTATTTTGTTTGTTTTTGTTGGTGGTGGTTTTATTTATTTTAGTTTTTCATTTGGAACATACTTTTATTTATATTATTATTTTAAAAATATTTACTACCCCTTTCACCCATTTCTTCCACCCCAACGCCAGATCTCTGGCAACCACCAATCTGTTCTCTCTATATATGAGCTTGGTTGGTGGTTGTTTTGTTGTTTAGTGTTGTGTGTTTTTTCTGATTTCACATATAAGAGAGATCAAATGGTATTTGTCTTTCTCTGACTGGATTGGAAATCAGGTGAAATCAATGTCTTTTTCTTGCAGCAACTCAAGTCAGTTTTTTGGTCACCAGATGCAGAATTCATCTTGTTATAAACACCAAGTAAGATTTTAGTAAGCTACCCATTTCTTTCATGCTTTCTTAAAAAATTTATTTGAGAGAGAGGAAGGAAGAGAGAGAGAAACACTGATTTGTTGTTTCACTTATTTATGCATTCATTGGTTGATTCTTGTATATGCCCCTAACCAGGAATCAAACCTGCAACCTTGGCATGTTGGGACGATGCTCTAATCAACTGAGCTACATGGCCAGGGCCCATCTGTTTCTTTGTTAAAGACCTTATGATCAACTAGACACCACCAAAACTACTTGAGTGTCAAAGTATTCTCATCACCACTGGGGCCTTGCTGTTCAATATAGTATTTGTGTCCATTTTGCATCTATTGTTTAGGCACCGATACTTCAGGATTGCATCATCCTCATTGAAACTGGGAAGCTCATCTCAAGCATCTACTACTATCATGCGTTCTGTTGAGAAGACAGATTCTACAAAGCTTTTCAAAGATATTGGTAATCCCTCAATATTGTATTTCTCATTGCTCTAGTAAATAAAGTGTACTTTGGGCCCTGTCGGGTCATGTAATGGGAAAGAAATATAAAGTTACATATTATAAGATCACTTTAATACTCCTATCTTCCTAAATTATTAGGTTCTTTCCTCTATATTCTGCCATTAAACCTCACTTAATGTAAATAGAATTTATTTCAAGCTTCAGACAACTGTTAAAGCTGGCTTCACCAGCTAACACATTAAACACAAAATCTATGAAGGGGCAGCTATATCTATATGTTGGCCCAGGCCCAGTGTTACATTCTATTCTCTTTGTTCTAAAACCCTTGGAGTCCATTCTCACATGTATTCTTGACCCATTACCACACTAATAAATACATCCTTTATGTCTCTTTACACCCCAGACATTCTCATCTTTATACTCCTCCCCTCCAGAATTCCAGGACCCATATTTCTCTTTTTGTTTTCTTACTGCAAATGTTACACATGGATTGCCCAGGTAAATTTCTTTAAGATTTGACTTTGGCCCACAGTAAAGTGTACCCAAGCTTGACTAACTGGTTTCTCACATTTTTCTATCATATATTTTCATTGCTGGACCTTCATTGCACTCCCTTCATGGCTCTGCTGAATCACTCCCGTCTGGTTTATTTACTAGAAACTCAGATCTCCCCTGTCCTGTCTTTGGTTCAGTTTCCAGTTATGTATCGCTCTCCTCCCAGGTGAGTGATGCTTCAAGTGGTCTCTCAGGTAATATTTCCTAGCTGACCTTATTCGGACATCTCCCATTTATTTCCCTTGAAGTCAAAATATTCTTCAAACAACTTGCATTTCAGAAAGCCTGTAAATTCTGTGCTTGGATAAACTTTATATACTTCTGCAGGGTCAGATGAAATAAATGTTTTATAAGATTAGTACTTCTGGGAAGGTTTTCCTGCATTAGTCTGAAGTCCTTTCTTCCATGTTTTGTTTTCTGTATCTCCAGTGTTTCAAATATCTGTCCTGGCTATGACTGGGGCTCAAAGTAGTAGGCATGTGACAAAATGCTCTCTTGTAGAATATTTCTTTTCTTTTTCTATTGTAGTAAGAACATCTGACACAAGATTTACCCTTTTAACCAGATTTTAAGTGTATAATGCAGTATTGTTAACTATAGGCACAGTGTTGTACAGCAGATCTCTAGAACTATTCTTAACTGAAACTTTATATTTATTGAATAGCAATTCTCCACTTCTCTTTCCTCTCAGGCCCTGGCAACCACTGTTTTACTCTCCACTTCTACGAATTTGACTATTTATTTATTTATTTATTTAAATATGTTTTTATTGATTTCAGAGAGGAAGGGAGAGGGAGAGAGAGAGAGAAACATCAATGACGGGTCATTGATCGGCTGCCTCCTGCACGCCCCCGACTGGGGATCGAGCCCGTAATCCAGGCATGTGCCCTGACCAGGAATTTAACCATGATCTCCTGGATCATAGGCCTATGCTCAACCTCTGAGCCAAGCCAGTTGGGCAAATTTGACTATTTTAAATACCTCACATATTAGAAGTCACACAGTATTTGTCCTTCTGTAGCAAGCTTATTTTACTTAGCATAATACCCTCCAGGTTCACCCATGTTTTTTCATATTGCAAGATTTTCTTCTTTTTTTATGACTGAATAATATTCTATTGTATGTATATATCACATTTTTCTTTATTCACTCATCTGTCAATGGGAATTTAGGTTGTTTTTACATTTTAGTTATTGTGAATTATGCCGCAATAAACTTAAGCGTGCAAATTATCTCTTCAAGATCCTGAGTTCAGTTCTTCTGGATGTATACCCAGAAGTGAGGTTGCTAGATCATAGGATAGCTGTATTTTTAAAAATTTGAGGAACTTTCATAATGTTATCCAAAGTAGCTACATTGTAACTTCCACACTATACAACACTACATTTATTTGTAAAATAAATAAAAATAAAAATACTAGTCTAAAATGTATTTGGGCAAAGGTATTATCATAGTTATTGTGAGCACTTTATTTACCAGAACACTATGGAGAAGAAAATGACACGCCCGGATCAGGGAGCATTCCCAGAGGAAGGCCATTACCTGTGATCAGGCTGCATAATAAGGCAAATTTGTCCAATAATCAGGGCTATAGCTCAAGAATAAAGGTTGGCCTTTAGGGAAGGGTGAGAGGAGAAATGCATTCCCAAGGAAGGTATGAGGACCCCAGAATTAGTCCATGGAAGCACTAGGTAGTAAAGTGTTTCTCAACAACTGTGAATTAGACAAGCCATTTCAAAACAAGAGTTAGTCTTCAGAAATGAGATCCATTTAACCACCAGTCTCCTGCCTAACAGATCAGAAGTGCTAAGGATCTAGATACTCAGATGCAGTTTGGTGGAGAGGAGGGTGAAAAGTAGAATGAAACATAGGATTTTACTCTCTTCCCTCTCATAGATACAACTTCCTTGGGAACATTTTAAACAAAAAGGAAAAATCTAAAGGTAATCAATACACTTCTTTATCATGACTCCTTCACCTTATATACAGAGCATAACAAACTAAATGACCATTAAATGTTACTCGACTAATAAGACAATGCATTATTTTGAGACCTTGTGCCATATAAATGTTCATTTGAAAAACCAAGATAAAATGAGCAAAGATATTTTTTAAAAACCAAATAATGTATATTTAGTGTTAACCTTTTAAATTCTCTGGAAATATAGAGCTTCAATGTTAAACCAAGCTTTGGATTTTTAGCAGTAGTTAATACTATCATTCAACAAAATGAAGATTCCTTACAAATTTCAATTTTTTGGCCATTTTCTAATTGCCAGAAATGCTTGAGGTTTAGGTTTGCTAGATAATATACTGAACACTCAATTAATTTGAATTTCAGTACTTCCTGGAAGTAGTTATCTCATGCATTTGAGACATACACTAAAAAATATTCACTGCTTATTTAGCATTCAAATTTAGCTGGCTGTTCTGTATTTTTATTTGCTAAATCTGGCATGCCTGTTGAGGTTACTAGCATGCATCACAGAGTACTAAACCCAAAATTTGCAAAACGTAACAGGAGAAAGTGTGGGGCCATGAACAGGAGTTGGTCTAATTTGCATCTTGGTAAACTGCAGCTCAGCCTAAATTAACCATATGTGGAAAAGTACAACTTGCTGGGAAGGTAATGGACATACAGCGACCAGGCCAGGGATTGCCAACCACAATGTTTGTCAAGACTAATTAGGATTTAATGAAGATAGCTACCGCCTTCATTTGCCATTCCAGCATCCATCATAAGACAGATTACCTTTAAAAAAGGTAAAAAAAAATAATAATAATAACAGCAAAATCTAAAAAGTAGGTGTAGATATCGTACTACATCAGCTCAAATCGAAACAAATTGGATATTTCTGTGTTTTAACATGTCAGATGAAGTAAGCAGCACCTTACTGATCATAGCAGTTGGAGAGTTTTCAGTCGGGATTTTAGGAAATGCATTTATTGGATTGGTCAACTGCAAGGACTGGATCAAGAATAAGAAGATTGCTTCCATTGATTTAATCCTCACGAGCCTGGCCGTATCCAGAATTTGTCTATTGTGTATAATCCTGTTAGACTGCTTCACGCTGGTGCTGTATCCAGATGTCTACGCCACTGGTAAACAAATGAGAATCGTTGACTTCTTCTGGACACTAACCAACCATTTGAACGTCTGGTTTGCCACCTGCCTCAGCATTTTCTATTTCCTCAAGATAGCTCATTTCTTCCATCCTCTCTTCCTCTGGATGAAGTGGAGAATTGACAGGATGATTCCTGGGATCCTGCTGGTGTGCTTGGCCCTCGCCCTGTTTATGAGCCTTCCCACCGCTGAGAATTTGAACGACGATTTCAGGCTTTGTGTCAAGGCAAAGTGGAAAACAAACTTAACTTTGAGATGCAGGGTAAATAAAGTTCAGTACGCTTCCAAAAAGGTATATTTCAACCTGCTCACGCTGTTCCCCTTTTCTGTGTCCCTGATCTCATTTCTCCTGTTGATCTTCTCCCTGTGGAGACACGTCAGGCAGATGCAGCTCAATGCCACAGGGCTCAGAGACCCCAGCACGGATGCCCACATGGGAGCCATGAAAGCTGTCATCTCCTTCCTCCTGTTCTTTGTTGCCTACTATCTGGCCTTTCTCGTAGCCACCTCCAGTTACTTCATACCAGAGACTGAATTAGCTGTGCTGATTGGTGAGTTGATAGCTCTAATCTATCCCTCAAGCCATTCTTTTATATTAATTCTGGGGAACAATAAATTAAGACAAGCATCTCTAAGGGTGCTATGTAAAGTAACACATACACTAAAAAGAGGACATTTCTAACAACACAAACAGGTCTGAAGACAAACTATCATTTTCTAAGACAAAGGAAGGCAAAATGTTTGTTAATTATCTTCGGCTCTTACATTAATGTTGGTTTCATATGGTTGATTACCTTAAAATGTATTTAGTATATCTATAACTTAGGAAATCGTATGTAGAGCTTATTTTGCCTCTTTATCTCTGCCTCTCTCCCTCTTTGTCTCTCTTCTCTCTCCTTTCCATCAGAGTTTTTTTAAAACAAAATGTGAGAAGAGAGAGTGTTTTCACAGTTAGTTCCAAATCATTTCTCCCAATGCAAATTGTATGGCTAGTTCAGAACATTTGTAAAAGCACCTTGCTCTTATTTGCATCCTTATGAAAAGCAGCTGGCCCATCCTCATGGTCCTGGCTGGATTCTTCTCAGATTATCCAACTAAGCTCCACCTTTGCAAAAGACTCAATAAGGTTACAGTTCTTAATAAAATGCTACGCAACTCTATGAATGTAGCAGACATCAATACTGATTATAGTCACAAATAAAACATAAATTGTGATTAAAATAAATATGTCACAGCAAGCTCAAAAATTATTTTAGGATCATAGATCAATGAAAGAAAGATACTCTATAAGTGTGAGAGGACAGTTTACATAAAATGTTTCTATAAAATAAGGATGGCTAAACAAGAAGCCTAAATAGAACTATTTATTGCTTATTGAAGGATATTTCTTACCCAAAAGACATGTTTAAGTTTGCTTTTAGCAAGCTAGGACTGCACCAGGCATTGACTGTCAAGATACCCTGATGAGACCTTCAATCAAAAACTTATATTTTGAGATGTTAAGATGTCAAAACTGTCAAAGAAGACATTGACTCAATACAGGTCATCTCTACATGCCAAGAGGATATTGTTCAGATTATATACAAGTCATCTATAAGATGTCTATTTGGGAAATTCCATCAAAAGCACATCATTTATGTTGTGGCAAAGATATCTGGAAATGGTTGACTCTGTCATTAACCAGCCTAGAGTAGCCATGAACTTTGCTTGCAGAAGATAAAATGTTTATAAATATTCTGATCAATAAATTTGGTAAAAATAAAATTACTTTTACACTTCATAAGTGTCATATGTTAGTTTTTCTTCACTGAATATGACAGTGCGAAAGATACACATTGATTAAGCTGATAATTTTTAAAAATTTACCAAGTGCCTTGTACGTTAAAGAAACAATAGAAAATTAGGTACATAAGCTGAAACTTATGTTCCTTTTAATCCAGTCTTAAGGAATACCTGTCCCTGACCCCCCAGCTAAGCAGAGGCCAGGTTATGTGGATTTATGAGGTATAGGAACAAAAGAACCATGAGGGCTAAGGGGAATCTTGAAAGTTCCATGTTTTATGTCTTCACATTGTGGACCCTAGAAACTTGATCACCTACTTACATTACAAACATAGCCCCTCAGCATTCAATTTCTCTGTAGACTGCAGCCAGGCGAAGGACACTGAGGTAGAAACAGAGGCTATATTAGAGACCTCTTACGGTACATAATTCTCCTTATTGGCAAATCTGGATAAAAGTGATGTAGCCAAGTTAAGTGGTTTATCTTCTGAGATTTTTATTAATTCTGAGATATCATGCAAAAATGATAACCACTCAAGGTTGAAAGAAGTATTTATACTGTTTCTTTCACTCCCAGTGTTTGGAGTATAATTTTCAGGCTTTCTCTAAGAGAATGTAGTGAAGGGGTTACCGAGAATGCAGGCAGATTTCCTCCTGTTTGTAATCCCTGTTTAATAGATAGATATTCACTCACACATCAAATGTCTAAGGGTTAGGCACCATACTGAGTGCTTAAAATACAGATGAAATAGGACCAAGTCCATGCTTTCATGCGCAGCCGTGGAAAACACTGTGGAAGACGGAAAATGATGAAGGAAACAAGCAAATAGTTACAAGTCCTGATTAATGCAGCTGAGAAAAACTGGACGTGAGGGATAGCTCTACACAGCGTAGTCAGGATAGACCTACCTGAGAAAGCGAAATTGTAAGCTGAGACTTGAATCACTAATATAACCCAGCCATGCAATATTGTGGACAAATAACATTCCCAAAGGGTGGCGAAGCAAGTGCCAGTACCCTGAGGAGTAAATGTCTGAAGAAGAGCAGTGAGGTCTGAAAGACCAAAGTTTGGGGAGCAAAGGGTGACTGGCAAGATCATGAAAGGCCTTGTAGGTCATGGGAGGGAATTTAGATTTAAGTTCAATTGGAAGGCATTAAAAGAACTGAAGCTATGTGTAACAGTTTGATTCGTATATAGATTTAAGTTCACTTTGATTATAAGAAGAATGGATATTGTATGTGTTGAGGGTGGGGAGAAGTACAATTAAGGGGACTATCTGCTACATTATTTTTTAAAACAGTTTTTAAAATATGCTTTTATTGATTTTAGAGAGAGAAGAAGGCGGGGAGAGAGAGAGAAACATCGATTGGCTGCCTCCTGCATGCCCCATACTGGGGACCAAGCCTGCAACCTGGGCATGTGTCCTGACCTTGAATTGAACTGGCGACCTCTCAGGGCACCAGGTGATGCTCAACGAACTGAGACACAAATCATAGTGGCTCAGATCTGGGTGCTGGCATGAGTTAGGTAATCTTTTAGTGGATGAATTCTACATGTTGTGTGGGTAAAATTAATAGGTCTTGTTACTTGACCTATTGATGAAGGGAGGGAATTAAAGAAAAAGGAGACTCAAAACATGTTTACATTGTTTTTACTTTAGAAATTAGCTTTCAAATGCTGCTGAGAAAAACAATAAAACTGACATAGCAAAGTAGCCACTGGATTTGGCAACATGGATATATAGACAGGCTTCAACCTAAAGTGGTTCAACTTTCGATTTTTCGACTTTATGATGGTGTGGAAGCAATATGCATTCAGCAGAAACCATACTTCCAACTTCGATTTTTTATCTTTTCCATGGCTAGTGATATGTGGTAGGATACACTCTTACGATGCTGGCAGCGCCAGCAAGCCGCAGCTCCCGGTCAGCCACATGTTCACCAGGGAAAACAACTGATAGTCTACAGTGCACGAGGTTGCCTGTGTTTTTGGGTATTGTGTTCTGTGTTGTCACATCCCATTGTATCTACAAAACACCCATCTGTGTTCCCTGTTTCTGGTGAGCAGAAGAAGAGGAAGGCAAGTACTCTTGAAATAAAACTCAAGATAATTGTCCAACATTAGGCTAATGTAAGTGTTCTGAGCATGTTTAAAGCAGGCTAAGCTATGGTGTTTGGTACATTAAGTATATTAAATGCATTTTCCACTTAAAATATTTTCAATTTCTGATGGGTTTATGAGGACATAGCCCCATTGTAAGTCGAGAAGCATCTGTAACTGGTGAGCCTAACAAAAGCAATGTTAGCAAAAGGTAGGAGTAGAAGCTACGTTCGGTGGGGAAGGTTAAGAAGGGAACAAAATGTGGGAAAGCAGAGACATGGTGAAAATATAACACTTAAGTAAGTTTTGTTATTAAGGAGAGTAGAGAATGGAGCATGGAAACAAGGCAAAATTTCAATGTTTTCATTGGTTCTGTTTTTAAATTGGATGACAGTGAGTGCTTGCAAATTAAAATGATTCAATAGAAAGAGAGATAATAATGTAGGGGTAGTAATTGCTGGAGCCATTATGTTAAAATCATGTCCCTGACATAAAACAATTGAACTCTCAGACCTGAATAAGGATATTTAGGTGGGTGAGGCTGAAAATTTGGAACCCTCAGATTCCCTGTATTAATTTGCTAGAGTTGCTGTAACAACATACTACAAATTGAGTGGCTTAAACAACAGAAATTAATTTTATCACAGTTCTGGAGACTAGATGGTCAAGACCAAGACCAAGGTGTTGGTTCAGCCTGTGGGCTATGAGGAAGAATCTGTTCCAGGCCTCCTAGCTTCTGGTGTTTTGATGGCAACCTTTAATGCTCCTTAGCCTCTGCTACATCCACCACAATCTCTGTCTTCATCTTCACGTGGTGTTCTCCCTGTATACATGTTTATATCCAAATTTCTCCTTTCTTTAAGGATCCCAGTCATACTGGATTAGAGGCCCACCCTACTCTCAAAGGAGCTCATCTTAACTAATTACATCTGTAACAACCCTATTTCCAAATGAGGTCATATTCTGAGATACTGGGGTTAGTACTGCAACATATATATTTCTGGGAGACATAATTCAACTCCTAACACTCACGCTCCTTTACACCTTCCCTAGTTCTGGCCAACTTTACTTCACAGCATTTCTGCAAATGCTGATATGCAAAAGAAATAAGTTGAGTCAACACGAATGAACTAAATGCAGGGGATGAGGTACATCTGTGTTTCTCTAAACCAAGGGGAAGCGTGTCTGATTGACAGCTGGATAAACAGTCTATCTCCACAGGGCATGCCGAGGCAGACAGGTCCTGCAGGCCCTCCTGAATCTCAGACATAAACAGATGTAATAATATGGCACACAGGCATTGAAAGACTGCCAGAGATCAAGGAAGTTTACAAGGGCATTTTCTCTGGTCTTGAGCTGAGAAAAGGGTTTGTGTATTGATAATGTGAACTTGGTAAACTCTCTGGCCTCAAGAATACATTTATTTATTTATTTATTTATTTATTTTTGCTTTGGAATATGGTGGTAGTTAAGTCCTCACAAAATTATTAAAATCTGAGCTACGTATCAAGCTGTACAATAGAGAACATTTGGAGTCCAATCAGGGCTTTGTACCTCCAACCTGTCCTACTTGTTCCTTGACTGAGAACCATGGCCCTAAAAGAAAAACAAGAGCCAGGCTGTAATGCTTATGATTTTACTGATGATTTAAAGTTGGAGAAAGGAAAGGCCAAGTTCACACCACTGAAAAGTCCATGGTCACCAGTCAATCTCTATAAATTCTGAAACAGAGAGAAGAATTTTAGACACAGGTAATAACTTAGCCTGAGCATGCTGTATGCCTGGTATCTCTGCTATGA